AGGTATCTATTGACATGAGTTAAATTGAGCAGATGAATGAAATAACTAAACTAAAAACGTATGATAGGTGGGAACCTATCATGAAGGTCTGGGGCATGTAATGCCCCAGCCGTTGTGATAAAGTTGGGTGTGAAATATTCCTCGTGAGAAAGCACGTGGGGGAGGGGAGGGGGACGGTGGGGCCCCCCGCCACCCGGAGCACACCCCGCAGAAAGGGAGAGCTATTGGCCCTTCGGCACTGTACTCTTCTCTCCGCTTACATCCGACACGCGCCACCCCAGCGGGGGACCCCCCCGGCCCCCACCACACCACACCGCTTCCGCATTTGGAATTTGTTTAAATTAGTTTTCTACTTCCATTTTATTTAAGGACTGTACTAATGTACTGATGGTGGAAAGTAGAGATGAAATTTGTTCAGCTTGTGCTGTAACTATACGCTCGAGAGTGTTGAGACGTTTATCAAGTGATTGATAAAGATTAGCGTCGTTACTATTCATATTTTTTGAGTTGGGCTGAGTGTTTTTTCCTCTGAGGACATTAGCGTAGCTATTTGTTGGGAGATTACTCGATTGATGAGTAAGATTTGAGGGCGGAATTACCTTATGATTAACAAACTTTGATAGTCTTTTCTTTTTAATATCTTTATAGACCCTACACCCTCTGTAATTCCCTAAGTGCTGACCGCCACAAAGGGCGCATGTGGGAGCAAGGGGTGCAAGGGTCAACAAAGATTCTTTTTTACGAGGGCATTCATCGGTGACGTGAAGGTCGCCGCAGATGACGCATCTCGGTTGTCTATAACAATAATGTTTGGTATGCCCATATGCCAAACAATTTTGACACTGAGCAATTACTTTGCTTTTTTTCATAAATTCAAATTTTACTATCAGATTATTAATCGAATTAATTTTCTCAAGTGTTTTGGCGACTACGGGAGACGCCTCAACCTCTAAAGTAAACAATGGCATTGGAGCCTTGGTGATAAAGTGCCTTATCTGAGTAACGTTAATTACCGACAGGCCTTGAGAGACAAGTGACGACTTAATGTCGTCTACTAGGTAATCAGAGGGAAGTCCTCTTATCATACGTTTAATGGTTTTACATTCCTTAAACTGATAAGTATGAAAGCTAATTTTTTGAGATTTAAAATGATTAAAAAGAATACTGTACTCGTCTCGGGTTTTAACTAATACCTTAACTTGGGATTTATTTACAATTTGGATTTTAGAGTCCTTAACTAAGGGGTCTAATACTACGTTTTTGAAGATGAGAGGTTTCCCTACTCCTGATACAAAAAGGGGAGGAGGAAGGGGTTTAGCTGCCGGTTTATCCGGTTTTTCTACGGTTAACACATTAAAATTATTGCTGTTATTGCTAGGGGCTTTCCCCTGTTTTAGTTTGCTAGATTTAATTTTGAGGTTCGCACTGGAACTTTTTGTAGGTTCAATAGAGCCATTATCGGATGAGCTGGTGTCTCGTTTTCTTTTATTAATCACAGTTGTCCATTCGTTGTTTTTAACTGGGACCACACTTGAATTATTGAAGTTCGTTGAAGAGGGTCTTGAGGTTTCTTCTATGGGCATGGCCTTCGAGGTTGATTGAGAGGTCGGGGAGCTCTCGGCATAGAACTTGTCAAGAACTTCACGTTTGAAGACGTCATATCTTTGTTTATCTCCTTCGGCTATGTAATGATCGTCAGGGAAGACGGATTCTTTTAGTGGTATACATGTGTCATCTAGTAATTGAGAATAATAAAGGTAATAAGTTTTTTTAGAGAGAAAACATCGCATTCGATACTGATATCGAAACTGCACTCGAATGCTATATTTTATCTCCGAAAAAAAACACGCCTTTATTACGTTGAATTTATTTGTTAAAATTGGTAAGTGAGTGCTTTAGTCTCCTGACAATAGAATTGCGTGTTTTTTTAGAGAGAAAACATCGCATTCGATACTGATATCAAAACTGCACTCGAATGCTATATTTTCTCTCTAAAAAAACCACGCCTTTATTACGTTGAAGTTCTTTCTTAAAATTGGTAAGTGAGTGCTTTAGTCTCCTGACAACAGAATTGAGATCTCAAAATTGGAGAAAAATGACGAGTACCTGAAAAAATGGAAATAATTGATGCGATATATCGCATGCCTTTCTGACACAAACTATAAGATGAAGAGATTGAGATCCCATTCATGATAAGTATGGGTGTTTGTCGGCTACTGTTTACACCTTCAAAGTCAGTGCATTGGTATCGTTCCTCGATTGCTCACCTCGATTTCGGCCTTTACGTCCCTTTTGCCCAAATGACGCGCCGCGCTTTTTCTGAACAATACTTTTGAAGTGCGGGTTTTAGAATGTTTTATAGCCATTTTTTAATAATTTTTTAGAATGGGGTTTTAGAATGTTTTAGCCGTTTTTTAATAATTTTTTTCAATCATGGGTTTGAAGTTCCTACTTAGTGAAAAAGGGCGCGATAAATTAGTGCATCGTAACTATATCTATAGACAGGAGAAAATCGTCGGAGAAAAAATAATTTGGAAGTGCGTGTTGTACGAGAGAAATCACCGCAGAGGGCGCGCCGATTTTTAATTCATGACGATGGTCCATGTGAAAAGCGAATTTTAATACATATATTTGGCACCGACGAGGATTTACAGTTTATGAAACAATGCAAGCATTGGTATTGCGATGGGACGTTTAATGTTTCGCCACATCTTTTTAAGCAACTTAATACGATCCACGGTATCGGCTATTCAAACGTCTTTCCATCTGTGTATGCCCTGTTGCCTTAAGGTATGCCAAAAAGGTAATATTTTTTAACAGTCATTAATTATTATTTTCCCCAGGTTTTGGTTTGGGTTCGCGCGACGAATAACCGCGGCGACGAATTGCGATGGCGGTAAACTTTCGCGCGACGAACTGGGCGCGACGAATTTTCGCGATACCCCTTAACGCAAACTACGTCAACTCGCTTATTAATCGATACATATAGACCATCAACAAACGATAATAAATATTAGATTGGTACAATTTGTTCTTTTACTTTCAGCAAAGAATGCTTTTCGAATTGTTGCTGTCAATTGATCCAGAGTTTTTTTGAAATTGTAACTCTATTTGGACGCATTTTGAGGCTTCCATGATGATAATGTTAGAGGGTACTAACTGAATGAACATTTAAGAATCTACATTGAAAAAGGCATTCATCCTCGACGAAGATTTTTCCGTAACGCCCAGAATTTTTTTTTTTTGGGGGGGGGGGAGGAGGGCAGCTGATACTATTTTTGAATCTAGGGCGGCCAGGTCCCCTCTGAACCTCCCCTTCGTACGCCCATGTTCGAAGGGTATCACAGGAATGAACAGCTTAAATACCCGTTCAATAAACGTTTGATGGAGCGAATTAAAAAGGAAATTACGGTGCATTGGGTTTTGCGTTTTATTTTATTCAGAATCATATTTTCTCTAAATTTGCAGCCATTTGTGGTTCATGATAGATTTTGCGGTACAGCGCATTTTTTCGTTTACTAATCGTTCCGTAACTCCCGAAAATGTGAGTAAAAGTGGCAAATTTACGAACGCTCATCTTAGTATACAGGATACAATCGATTTATTTTTTTCAGTCATTAGTAGGATTATTGTGGGAATCTTGAAACGTCAGCGCCTAGTTAGTCATCAAGGACTGTTCATCCCAAAAATCATGTTTCACAATTACTCTCCAAAAATTCTATACGTACACCGATACCAAGATCCGAATCTACCTAGATACACAGAAAGAAACTGGCCGCCTGAATTCAAATTTTAAGTCATTCGAGAATGACAGTTTCCTTAAACATACTAAGTATATTGCTCCTGTGATAAAACTCAAGTCTCCCAAAATAATCTCCCTTATCGCTAAAATCCACAATATATTGCAGCGGTGACGATATGTTGAACTAAAATTCGAGCATTCGCTTTCGGCGACTTAATGAAAACGGAACCGTTAGAACCATGCAAAGGAGATTGAAACGTCTAATTTTTCCTATTTTGTCGGGACTGCGTATTGTCGGGTTGCATCTGTAGCAACAATAATTGCCCTCGGGTTTAATTTCTTTTACATACCTTCTTCGTCACCATCCTCGTTCCCCGTGACTACGTAGTCATATTACTATCTAATCAAATTTTTGTAATAAATACCTGTGGAGGGGATGGCTAAGCGTGAGAAAGGACACCTCTAAGATCGAGAATTGCCTCAGAGTTAGTGAGTGATTGGATGTGTCGTCAGTAGCTTCCTAAACGTCTGTGAGCTCGTGTGCCCTGCAAGTACTCATCCATCTATACGGAAAATACTTGAATACTTTGACGTGAGTGACGCTTTTGATAATATCATCTTAATTACTTTCAACCTGTGCTTTTCCTTTTTCAGGATATTATCGTGCTTTACATTAGACTCTTTGTTATTTTTTTCTTTTATTTCATTTTTTTTTGTGTGTCACACGAGATGATTTTAAAATTTTAAAGGAAACACCCAGATCTGTGGTGCATTTTTAATCTGTTTTTATCAAATAATTTCCAATCAAATCGATAATTAAACTAAAATTAAACTATTTCTTATACACGTTCTTTTCGTGGGCAACAGCCGTACAAGACTATTAATGCGAGGATGACCTTAGGTTTCGCTTCGTCTCGTTTCATTTTTCTTGGAAAAAGTCTGGTAGAATTTACTTTTGAGTTTCCTTTAAAAATTGACCCTCTTTCAATGAGAAAACAATGCTTGGGATTGGCGCTTTAAACGCACATTTCATAGTTTTTGCAAATAATCAAAATGCCCTCAGATTTCAGAGTTCCTTTTCTCCATCCCTTTATTTCCCATTTCTAGAAGCATCGGTACTTCATTGAACGGATTTAAATCAAATCCTCGTAGACTTTTAATGGACTTGAAATTTTTTGAAGAAAGTGATGCGTTCTAATAGTGAAAATTGCAAAACGCATGTTTCAATCGTGTTAGTTTCAAATCACAGCAATTTTTTATGTGTTATATATATGACCAATAAACGTTATAGTTTGAAATTGAATGTATATTTTTCGCAGATGAAGGTATGCAAATTCCAATAAAAATGAGCTCTTTTGAAAAATTAAGAAATAATAAGAAATCCGCAAAATTGAAAATCTAATTTCATGTTTTGCGGCTTATCCATAATTTTTTTGGCTTCTTTATAAGATCAATGGAAATATATGATTATTTAAGGAAAAGCATGAAGGAAAAATCCTAAACGAAAAAACTTTTTTCCGGATTTGTAGCACATGAATTTTAATAAAAATTGCATCTGAGGATTCAAAAGGAGTTTCAACATTCCAATTAGACGCCTCTATTGAGGATTCTATTTTAAACCTCCTAAAGACCAATAATTAATACCACGGAAACCAATTTTGTCCTGTGCGTAGAAATGAATTTCACAAAAAAAGACACCAGTTTTTGTTTAAAACCGTACTGGAAAATGGTTGGAAAAGGTATTTACTTTAAGAAAAAGTAATTGATTAGACGAAATTGTACTAACCCAAAAATTTTTCGTTATTATGTTACAGTTTTTCTCTTTAAAATTCAAATGAGTTTTTTTTAAATTTAAAAAAAATAGAGATTATTTATTGATGAAAAATTTAATGCTCGATCATCGAATCACAAAGGAAACTTCATTTGAATTCAAAACATTCCTACACTGATAAATGCCTATATTTTAATCCGTCATTTTCGGACGGGTTTTCACCAACGTTATTTTTTCTTCAATTTCAGAATATGGACAAGAAAAACGTTGTCGATAATAGCGCGAAACAGCGAAATCCTAACAACGAAGCTGGTGGGGGAATTGGATCCCGGCCTCGAGCCGACGCAAAATACACACCAGAGGAGAATAAGTCAATGCAAAAAAATCCGAATAACGAGCGGTACCAAGGACCGGGAAAGAAATGAGCAACAAGGTAATTTTTTTTTTTTTTTTTCAAAGTTAGTTGAGATTTTTAATCCATTTGACGATTCTGCAACCTTTAATGAGCATCGCGTTAGGGTTAGTACACATCCACGCTCCAGGCCTTCAAACTTTTAGGAATTAAGGCCGAGTGGGGTCTGTTCCTTCAGATCCACTCGTCAATTTTTTGAAAATTTGTCGCCACCACTGGGACTTGAACCCGGGACCTACTGGTCTAGAGTTAGACACTCTGACCGCTAGGCCAACCTGGATTGCAGACAAGGTAATTTATACCCTTAAGTTGATCAAACATATATTTTATTATATTTCCCCTCCCCCTCTGACTATCCAATTAATTTCAACGAGCAATAAAAAGTTAACACTTACTCGGAAATTAACTCAGTTTCTCGCTTCCCTTCATACAGACCTAGATGCTTTGAAAACTTCTGTGATACGATGGGAGGGAATTTTATCCACAACCTGCACAAACGGCATTTTCGTCCCCCTTTTTAAGTAATTCTTTGGAAAAAAAAAAAAAAAAATGACTAGAAAGCTAAGTTTTAAAGCAATCTTTTCTTACAATATACACCTATTTACAGATCAATTTTTTATGTTTGCATGTGCGTAATGGTGACATGCATCCCCTTACGAGCACGTACTCGCACTTATTCCGTAGGTGAAATGATTATGAAAAACGTTGACGCATGTTTAATCACTTTTTTGCGATTTCAAAGATGTCGATTCATAGCACTCTCCGGCGGTCTACGATACCTAACTGCCATTGTCCCCTATCCCCTACCACGTGTCACCTAACGTTATTCCACTCCTAGGTTGCGAATGTGACTCAAACAATTCAGTTTTTCACGAGATGTTTGAATGAGTTCAGAAGAAAAATCAGTGAAATTTTTAGTTACATCTAGGGGGCTATGCCTCCTGGGCACCCAACCACCAAAAGGCGCTTCGCGCTCTCTTAGGCCCGGGTCGACAAAAGAACGGCCGACAAAAATGAAAATATTTTCTTACCCGACTCTCATTTGTCGAATCTCCCTCTGGCCGGGAGCAACTGGACCGCAATGAGAATCGAATGAAGAAACTGGCATTTATTTCAAACTTCACGCCAAGATTCAAACAAAATTGAACGGAGCGTTTCGTCGCTTTTGGATAGTGTGTAGCAATGGAGCATACCCTAACAAACCCCTTACCCAACTAACAAATTCTGCATTGTATAAATTATTCAACATTTTCCGCTAAATTTGGAATTCCCGCCATTTTTGAGCTCTCCGGTCTACTTTTATATAATAAAACCTGGGCCCTTTTTTCAAATTCTGATTACAGCGGGATTATCTAGGGACTATCACCTGTCGATAACCGCAAAAATTACTGAAATCAGCCTGATGGAACGCTCAAACGAACTGTGACAAAAAATGAAAATTTACATTGTTTAAATGGGAGAATTTGCACCTTTACCACGTAATATAAAAAAACTTGGGTCATATTTTCAAAATTTTTATATAGCGGGCTCATTTAGAGACAATAACATGTCGATAGCCGCAAAAATCATGAAAAGCGGCCCGGTAGAACGGTGGAACTAAGCATTACCAGATTTGCAAATTTAGGAGGCCTCGGAGCTTATTGTATAGCTAGCCCGAGACTCTTCTGATAGAAATGCAATTAGCGAGGGAAAATTTGGCAACATTGAATGTAGTTACGTTCTTGCGTGAGGAGAACGACGAACTATTTGGGAATCGAGCACCTTAAAAATTCTGCTACAATCTCATCCCTCCATCTATACTATAAACTCCGAGACCTCCTAAAATATCTGGTAACGCTTAGTTCTGGCGTTCTACCAAACCGATTTTCATGATGTTTGCGGCGATCAACAGTCAATTGGACGCATTTCTGTCAAACAGAACTATGTGCAGAGGGAAACATGGGGTGTGCTCCGTCGGGCCATAAGAATGAATGGGAAATATAAAGCGCCAGTGACGTCAGCGGCAACGACGAGAGAAACTACGATCGGGGCGGTCTTTAACTCAATAGCCCTGTCCACAAGGCTCTAGATACATGTCCTCGGCTCACACACTGTGCACATAGTTCCGTTTGACAGAACGTGAAATCCCGCTTCTCCAATTCAGCAAACGGAACTGCAGGAGGATAGGTAGATAAGGATAAAATGGACGTATTTCTGCCAAACGGAACTATGTGCATTATTACGTGAGCCCTGTTGTGCATGCATTCTTAGGGGTCTCAGGGCTCATGACTTAATGCACGTAGTTCCGTTTGGCAGAAATACGTTTAAATGAGGTATGGATAAAACGCGGCATGTCGATCTTGCATGGTGAATGCTCATCTTACGGAAAGTTTAATAGCTTTGCCTTTTCCAAAAAAAGTTGCGTCGGACCGTTCGTTAAAGCCTTTTTTGCACATACACAAAGAAAAATGAAATTGTCGAGATGGGTCATTTCTCAACTGAACAACTGCTTAAATCTTGCAAAATTAATCCCGAAAAACATTATAATGCTACTCATTTTTGTCTAAAATCAGCTCTCACACTTGGGGAAAGACCCCTAAAGGTTGTGATCGCAATGGTGACTTTATTTGGAACTAGAGAGCAGGAGAGTTCATCTTCGAACAGATAATCTTTACATACCGCCGCGGCCCTAACTTTGTCTTCCATTCAAGGCCGTAGGAGCACAAAAATGAAAGATACAACTATTTTAACTTCCGAGTAGTTAATATTGCGTATCAATCAAATTGAAGGTGCCGCGTACACCGCAACGCATTTATTCATAGAGGTTCTCTATCTCCCTTTCTCTCATATTTTCGGTCTCTCTCTATGAATTTTCAAAACCCAGCATCGAGCAAGCCTCACTTACTCGTTGCTGTGATCAGTCGAACGCATCAATCTTTAATATACTTTTTATTACCCAGCTTCACAAGATGGATTGATTGATAAAGCTCTCTCGAGGCTAAGTTCTAATTTCGGGACGAGGAGTTACTCACTTCGGTTTTGACCACCTTGCACCGCTGTCCTCAGTGCTCCCGAAAGCTAGTCCATTGTATTTTAATGTAACGATTCCATCTCAAATACAAGCGAGTCCTGCGTCACCCTATGACATCTGTTTTTACTCTTGCTCTCCCAATTTCCGCCACGGATAGGAAATTTAGGTGTTTTCAGTCCGCCTAAAACCAAACGTTTCACCATATCCGCGACAGAAGGCGAATCGTATTTTCCGCTCCCAAATCACTTCTTCCAGGCTCGTGGAAGTGATACTCAAAATATATTATGCTATTTTTTTTAACCCCCAAGCGTCTCTATTTGTATCGCCGTCGGGCTAACATTAGCGAATGCGAGGCACGGGTTGATTGCTGGTACTTGTATTTTTTACAGCCAGCTTTTAATAAACCGCCCATCTTCCAGTTCTATACAATGCCTTGCCGATTTCCGCTCACTCAGCAAAGCATACGGTGAAAAGAACTGCTTGATTATTCATGTTCTCTTACGTTTTTTTTTTTCTAAAAAAAAAGTAGACTTCCTTTACTCGGTTTCAATAACTGATACTACAACTACAAAAATTCTCAATTCATCGTTATAAATCTTACACAATCAGCTTGTAAATCATGTATATCGACGGTGTAAGTCAGCAATCACATAACTCGTTTGCGGTGTCTGAAAGCTCCGCCTCTATGTTATTTTTTTAAAGGAGAAAAAATTGACATCATTCTTGAGGTTTATGCAGAATTTTCTTCGCATAGATAAGAAATATCACGGCAGTTTTAAAGAATTGCCGTTGATTATTTTTCCGTTTAAAAAATAAATTATGACAGGACCTCTGCGACGTTGCAAACCGAGTTATATGATTGCCGACTTACACTGTCGATATATTGTCGTTTTTTGGCGAAACCGATTTCTCAGAAAGTAAGTTGTCACCCTCGGTGAGGTAATAGTGCTTTAAAATTTTGAATCAGCATTATGTTGATTCATTTAAACTTTCTAGCGCGGTGTGCAAGAGGAGATAATATGAGCCATGATTTTTTTGAAAGAGTTTTAAAAGGTTTTCATTCATTGAAAAAAGAAGAAGAAGAAAAAAAACTCAGATTATGTAATCGAGCGTTTGATCTTCGTAACCGAGCTTTGTTCACTAGTTCAGTTCAGAGTGAAAAATTTGGATGCACGCGCTGACATTTTGATTTGACGAATCAAATATCTTGGGATATATTGACTCCAAATATCCCATTTCTCTGGCGCAACTTTTTCCTTAGGACATTATAACTGACCAGCGAGGGGCTTAGAAAACAAGGCGCATAAGTGCAGTTTTTGAAAAAAGTGAGATATTCACGAACTCGACTAAAACTAGTTTGAAAATATTTGTAAATTCTGTGGAAAATTCACAACTAAAAATCAACTTTAAAGCAAAAAAAAAAAAATTCTGGCATAAGGCTCTATGTAATTTTGAAACTTTAAACACGTATTTCTTGAAATAGCAAAAGCTGCACTTATGCGCCTCGTGCTCTAAGCCCCTCAAATAATATCAAATCAACAAGGGACCGTTCGAAAATTACGTGACGCACTTAGCGGAAGGGGGGGGGGTTGAGCTAGGGTTATGGCACGTTTTAAGAGAGCGCGTAACAAATTCAAGCCAAGAGGAAAAAAAAAACTTTGGAAAAAAACGTGCAAAAAATTGAAAATTCTTCTCGCTCTTCCCTAATGAATCTTTTTACACCAGTGGCGTGGCGTGCTTTGCGATATATTGATTGATCTGCCATTTAAACCTATGGAGAGGAATCTAAACAGGATGTCCGCAACGAACACCTTAATAATAGATACTTCAACGTAGCTTCAAATGAGGAAATATCGATAATCCATCTTTCACGTCTCGCCACTGTTTTACACCTTTATTGATCTCTTCCCGTCGTAGTTCAGCAAAATATGTAAAAAAAACCTGGGCCGGATTTAGGGGGTGGCCAGATGGGCCGCGGTCTTTGGCGGCAATTTTAGGGGGCGGCAAATTTTACAATTTTTATATGTAAGTATTAAAAAAAAATGGATTCAGAAAAAAAATACAAGCAAGAAAAGGCGACGAAATCTCTCATTTCCAGAGAGTAAGTAAATTCTAATTTTGTCGTCCATCGGTGATACAAGAGACAGAACCTTTAATTAGTCGAGTCTGGAACGACGCGGCGCAGAGAGCAATGATGACGAGGACTTGAGATGAAAAGGAGAAGCCCTCGGTACAGCGGTCGGCATTTAACACACATCAGCGCCTACAAAACTGCATGAATACTTCACGCATTGCGTCAAGCACAATGCTATGTGAGCACCGGTCAACGTGAAACGCATAGCGCCTACAAGACTGCATGAATACTTCACGCATTGCCTCAAACACAGTGCCGTCAGCGCAGCTCTGTGGTATGGCAGAAGTTAAAATCATTAAACCACATTTATGTTTGTTCTTTCATAATTTTTTTGTTCATTTCTTATAAATGGAAGGCCTTGTCCGCACAGAGATAGGTTCACGGAACTTATCTTTCGCGCAAAGTTCCGTGAAATTTTGCTAGTAGTGTCGACAGGGCTTTCGCAAAAAAATGTTTCCAGCACGAAACGCGTCTTATGCATCCCTCCCCCTCCGGCACTTCACTTGATAGTTTTTATTGATGTTTCAAAACGAATGAGAAAGGGGCGGCAAAATACAGGCTGCCCATGGGCGGCAAGTAGATAAATCCGGCCCTGAAAAAAACCTGAATTTTATCACGCGGTTTTCTCAACGTTTTCTTAATTTTTTTTTTAAATTGCGCGGGGAGGTCAGGCAGTGTTATGTAATTCAAAAGGGGGAGGGGTGTAAATTTGCGTGACGGGTGCGTTACAAGGGGGAGGGGGGTCAAACAATTTGAAAAAGTGCGTTACGTAATACTTGAACAGCTCCAAACAGATTTTTTAAGCATAGGAAACTTTAGTTCAATTTCTTGCTCATATCACGTAAAACAACTGAAAAGATATTTTACACTGACCAATGAACGAAAATGACAAAAAATGCCCTGAAGTCCTGATGGACGAACTTTCCTAATTTTAGGTCACTAAGTCCGAAAATGACCTCCTATTATTAACTTTCTCTCAACAAACTTTGACAAAATGAGAAAATTTAAAATGTTTAAATGGGAGAATCTACATATAACTTTATCACGTAATCTATGAAAATCTGGGCCATGATTCCAAAGTCGGAATAAAGAGGGCTCATCTAGAAACTATTGCATTTCGATTCCCGCAAAAATCATGACAAGCGGCCCATGTACAATAAAGCTAGAACGAATTGTTACCAGAAATTAAAATATAGGGGGTCTGAGAACTTATATTACAGATATGAACGGTATAGGATGTCCTGTAATTTCTACACAACTGGAATGATGCATTCAGAGATGTAACTATTATGAATTCATCCCTTACTGATATAATTTATTCGTTTGTTTTCAGCTCACTCGAAAAACCATGGCAAATCTCATCTTGCGTCTCAACGTAAATATTGCAAAACTACATATCATGACCATATGTCTATGGCTAACCCAGTAAATTTTGAAAAAATATGTCTTTGAACCAATACATTTTCTAAAACATTCACTTTGTTGTTACCTACTCTGTTTTTTCCAAACGTTTTACATTTGCGCTTCAATAACAGCAACCTATAATTTCCAAGTGTTGAAATTTTACTTATTTTTGGCGCTAAATACTAGATCATTCAAATCGTAAATTTTCATGTAGGTTTTCAATGAAAACATGAAATAAATCAAGAGAAACTGAACCCCTTTTCAGTAGTGCTGTGAATATCCATGGTTTCATATATGCTTACATAGTTCATGTTAATTTTAGAAATGGTAAAATATGGGGGGGGCGGTACAAATTGCAAATCCAAAATTATCCCAAAGGCATTTTCGTTCTCCCGCATCAAGTAACCGTGGAAGACTGACTGATATTCTTCAAATCCCACATTAAATCAGTAATTTCTTTTTTTAGAGAACTTCATGTAAGTTCATATGATAGTAGTTGAACTAGTTTATGATAATTTGAGTTTATTTTATAGAACCTCGAGCTACAACTTAGCGGGAAAAACTAAAATTATTGTTTTTAAACCTAAAATCTTTTGGTCTCGTTAGTGAATAAGACAATGGGTCAGTCGCGCTGGTCACAAAATCGTGTCTTGATGCTTGTATACTTGCAGATTAGATAAAAATAATAAGATCCGTCCAAACAGCAACTCTCTACGTTCAATATTAATACCATATTACGTTCGATATAGATATCGTGCTTTGAAAAAGGTTTGTAACGTCATCTACCACAGTAGTGACACCCTTAGTTTCTTCCACATTTCTTTCATTTGAGTTTCACATTGAGTAACCAGTGCAAATGTGTATCGCCGACTGATGAATCCATGGTAGAAGAGATCATGGTATGCATAACCGCGGTGAATGAAGTCGTAAATCGGATTGTCCAAAGTGCGATATCTCGGTTAATATTGAAATTAGAAAGTTGCTGTTTGGACGAATCCTATTATTTTTAGCTAATCTACAAGAATCGAGCATCAAATCACAATTTTGTGACCAGCGCAACTGATCCATTTGTTGCTGATTTAAAAGTTTTGACGAATAGAAAATAAATTTTAAAAAGCTTCAATGCCGATAATGGGCCACTCTCTTCCTCAAATCACACTAGCCTGCTTTATTATGCTTTAAGTTGCTTTTTATGCTATATTGAACAGGACGGCAAGTTTTCGGAAGATACGTTTAAATGCTACCATAACACGCCAGTCGTAGTTGTTTCACCGTTTCGCTCGGTCAAAGGAGGGGATGGCTTAACACTCCTTCCTTCAAAGTGTGCATTGAAATCAGTGCTGTTTCTAGATGGTGAAAAAGTCGACGTTGGCTCAGGTGCATCCACTAAAAAGAAGTTGCAGGCAATCGGATCTCCTAGATTGTACCTCATCGCAAAATTTGCAGATTAGAAGTAAGCTCTTGCAGGGTCAGTTCTGCGACAATAAACATTGGTGAAACAAATTATAAATAAAGCAAAATTGAAATCAGAATCTTTGAGGAATGTTCCAAAGGCAGCAAACGTTTCAACAACTCTCATACTACAGTTAAAAAGGGCATCGCTATAAATGTTTCCAAAATTCCACCTGTTGATTTACGCAAATATTAGAAAATGCATGTCAACATAATGTTATTCGGATTTTAAGCCCTAAAGGAAGATAGTGTAATAAGCATTTACAATTTTGCCTATTGTTAATTATGATTGTCTAATGTTATTCTCAATTTGCGTGGCTTTTTGCCGCTATAGCATCGGGGATCATGCTTTTTGAAGTAATTGAGTCAAAGGCATCACATGACGTGCATTACTCTAACTAACTTTGGAATTGAATATATATGAAGAAAATAATTTTTTTTTCCTATTGGAGATTTGACTGTTAGCTGCCGCATCCGAAAGACACATATTTCTTGAAATAATTTTTCTCATTTTAAGGTATGAAATATACCTCTAAAAATCTTCTCAATGACAGGGGTATAACTTACTTATTTTCTAATTTCTTCTCGCTGAAATTGATTCTGCGTAAAGGATGCCTGTAGACTAAATACACCAATCGATGTGTTCCTGATACAAAAAATATGCAAATTGCCGGTTAGAGCGATGGAACTGAATAATGAATCGAGTTCACCGTTAATACGACAGAATAAAAATGAAAAGAAAGGGGTGTAACAAGGCAAAAATATTCACACACTAAAATGGCAGGACGTTTTGTGCTATTATAGCCTCATTTTCAGCTGCAAGACCAGTATTACAAAACTATCATTTTTTTTTCTGCTGGAAATGACCTGTGGCGGCTCGAACGTCCTGTACATTATTTTTATATTTTTGCAATTTATTTATTTAATATTTTTTTTCCCAGTTTCATTTTTATTCTATAGCGCAAGGTTGATAGACCCCGATCAGTCCGTTAGGATAGTTGACTGTGATATCTTTTGAAAATAACGACCAGGGCTGACCACGTTGCAAAAAGATTCCCCTGATTTGCTTGTTCCACTCTGCTGTCTCCCCAATCCGATTACATTGTTCTTATTCAGCGGACTGATTGTTGAAATTGATGGAAAAAACCTTAGACAAAGAAGACATAAGGAGTACAGAGCGATCTTATTGGTTGAAATGGGTGGCTCTTATATACTAAGGGATAGAACATGATGGAATATAACTAAACAGTCTCTCGTGAGCTACAGTTAGTTAGTCTATTACCTATCTCATTTGTTCAGTGCAACCACCTCTTTTATTGATCGGATCCCTCCATATCCCTTTCGTCTTCTTTGTCTATAGCTTTGTCTACCAATTTCAACACAACAATCAGCCCGCAAATCGGGGTAATCGATGATGGGGAAGGGGGCGGGGCTATGCAATGGAGAAGCGCAAGTCGGGAAAACGTTTGGAGGGTAGTGAGACAGCAAATTGGGAGAAATCGTCACCAGATCAGGGATTTCCAAAGGACATCTTACTATCGGACCGACCTAGGTCGTTGCCCTAGTTATCGTGTGCATATTTTTGGGCAATGTAATTTATATTCATATCAAAAGCTTCAGCGAATACATGGGGATAGTATGTCCCTTTTTGTAGCTCCATCTGATGCTCGTTATTATTTTCTAGGAGGGATCGATACATACATTAAAGTCTGCAAGCAATTTTTACTCCTTGGTCGAGAAACCCAAAAAGAGATCAGGGCACTCAGAGCTCAAAAAAGATAGAATTACAAATTCGACAACACAATGAGCTCGGAGTGAAAAAGAACGAACGCTGCAAACGGAAAAAGAATAGTGTTGTTAGAAGAATTTGTGAAGCAATAATCAAATACGAGTAGGTGCGGCTCATTGTCATTGGTAATTCCCTCATGCCGAGTGTAATTTGATGCTATGAAAATAAGACTCAGAGGAATTGAGTGGAAAGGAAATTATTGGGGAAATTATGTTAGACCTTCGTTAGTTTTGAAAAAAATACTTGCCTTCTTGGGGGTGTGGATGAACGTACGGGGCTAAGATTTCGCCTTGACCGACAGCTGGCCCTGGGATATTTCCCAATAAGTAGTGCAACCATTCTCTTTTTGTTGGAGACCTTGGAGATGGTGCATCTAGGTCTATAATTGTGAATGAAAAAGTGAATCATTGCCATACATCAAGAACAGTTCCCCTTCATTGTGTAAGGATAGGCATTACAAACTCCCTCACGTTGATAAAGTGGTATCATTCCTATTTGATAGTTCAACTTACAGTAACTGAAGGCTTACTGTATCCATGGTAGAATTAGAGAACTTGAACTCTAGGTTTTAACGTTGCAAACTTCCTCTCTCATATTAGCTTGATAGAGGAATTCTAGTCGCTTTTGCATTAAAAAAAATACGCGTAATTCTTCTCCACCATTCCAAACTACTAGCTAAAAATTTCACTCATAAATATTGGTCAGTTTTCTGTTAACAAAACCAAGGAGAGTGGAAATATTAATCCACTACAATCGAGACGGTTTACCTCCAGTTCAACGGCGATATGCTCTACGTTAAACAAATATACATTGTAAACGACTCTGTTAGGTATTTTGCATAACATTTGTATAGTCAGGTCAGATAATATGTTTCTATTGAAATAGAATTGAAAATCATTGAATTTCAAAACTTCTATCGTCCTATATTGAATTTTCCGCCATTTTTCTTTATCACTGTCAATTTTTTGGACTTAAACTACATTTTTCGAGACAAAATTAGTACTTAAAGTGACTTATTCTGTTATTTGGGAGATTTGTCATCCTCCGTTTGTAGTAAAAACATTTCCCGCAGGGAAAAACAAGACAACTTGTTTCAGCTTTAATCAGAGGTTCTAAGAGTTCCCGAAGTTAAATATTTTAAAATCGTCTATAGAAACCTCAGTTGTTGAGTCATAGCAAACATAGACATTCCGTTATGGTACAACGAAATGGCAAAGACACATACTTTTCCATCATTTAACGGAAAGCTAAAAAGATAAAACATGTAGATGCGCTAAGATTCCAAAACTTTTATCATTTCTACAAGGCAGAATTTTCCCATGAGTTCAGAATAAAAGTATGTCAAAGCTAAGGTAAGGGTATGCTCTTCCCGACCTTTTCAGTCAGAACCCGGCTTTAGGTTCCCGTCGCAAGAGTTAAGGCGCGAAATTTGTATTTCAACAATTTTGCAGTCTTGGCCGACAACATTAATGACAGTCTGCTGTTGATAAAAATGAAAGAAATAGCCATACCACTAAAAGCAAGTGAATTTTCATTCTTAAAGAATTTGATAGCACTGACTTTGTTCGATTAAATTAACAGCAGAAGGTCATATTTGTTTTCGAGTAAAGACTGCAAAGTTGTTGAAATTCGACTTTCGCGCTACAGCTCTAGCGGCGGGAGCCGAAAGCCAAGTTCTAGCCGAACGGGTCGGAGGGAGCAATGAGCATACCTACGTTTCACTTATCTTGTGTCAAGACAAATTCTTACCTACTAACAGCAGAGTGTAAAATTTCCTCCCTTCAAAAGGCCATAGGATGATATAAGGGTTGTTTTTTAGATACTGTGCTTTTATCTTATTCCCCAAATTAGGCGAACATCCATATGAGTAAGTCACCTTTAAGAAAAGTAGATGTATTAACAACAGTAAACTGATGTAGTGAAAATATTCGACGAAACTTACATTTCTAACGGACCGTTTTTTATGTTACCTCAAGTAATCTGGAAACTAACTTGTGCATGAACTTTCTGCGATCGAAACTTTTTTTTTTGCGATTCTCTAAATTCAGGGCTCATTAGGAAATAAGAAGGACACTTTATGTCATTACTCGATTCACCAGACGCATTATCATTTTATACTACGGTTCTTTCACCATATATTTGATTCTCCACAAATAAATATGTATCTCAATTTGCGTACATGTTACCAGCGCAAAAATCATGAAAGTTCATAAGTTTTGTCGTTCCGACGTCGTGAGGTTACGAATGGAGCAATAATCAGACGGAGGGAAAAAAATGGGTCACTCATGTCACTCACGGAATCCAGTTTTAATAATTTCAAATTATAAAGCAACAGAAACAAACAAGGTCTGTTCTAATGTCCGTAACGTAAGTTTTCACGGCTAATATTAACGGAGGTATCGCTCGTCGATAAACACAACGTACGAGATTGTGGTCATCCATCGTGCATATCAGTGGAGTGGCGTGCTTCGCGATGTCTAGACATTTCTCTATTTGAATCCATGGTAAAGAATCGATTATTATGGTTTCATTACGAACACCCTGTTTATCGATAATTTTCCATTGGTTCAAATGGCAGATCAATCGATATATCGCAAAGCATGTCACTCCATCGGTGCATACCGTCAAGCAAACAATGCAAAGTGTATTACCAATAATTGGACTGTATTCTGCATTAAAGAACCACTGTCCTTGGTTCATTTTAGAAACAACCTTTATGCCATTAGTTTTCCTGAACAAATAGGTGCTTTCAAAGATCAGCTAGAAATTGTAGCTCTTAATGTAAAAATGTAATTTATGAATATTCGAGGTGGGAAAACCATGGTACAGGTATCAGGGGTCTTAAAGGTGAGCTAAGAAGCTTATTGATCAAATTTGCATCATTAGCAAACATTTAATTATTTTAAGTCTGGCATCACTAGGTTACTCACTTAATTTGTCCCGTATCTCATACTGTTGCACTGTAAAAAGCTTTTTCTTTTTAAGTCATATAGGCTGTAATATCAACGAACCTTGATTGCGTGCAGAGGAGGTACTCTCAGTAAATCTGGAATAATTCCAAATTTTAATAAGGCATCATTAATATCACAAGCATTCCTATTTGAGATGTAAGCCGCACTTGATCTCAAAATGCATAAAATTATAAAAGAAGCTCTTAGGAATCTATTAGCATTACATTTGAAAACTCTATAAGTCGAGTGTGAGTGCCTGGCTGTAATAAAATGAGCCACGCTGCGGAAAAAATATCTGAAAAAGGAGGAAAATTTATATCTGTATCAGCGTATCAAATCACAAATTTCTTGCAAGTAATTACTTTTAGCCTAGCAATGAAAATGAAGAAGAAAACCTCTCATAAATAGACTTAAATTTCTGCTTTTTTTTCTAAAGAAAAAAAAAATACTTCTTATATATGTTCAGTTAAGTTAACTCCATGAACTCTATGTATCCTTAAATCTTGAAATTTTCGTCGGTTTATAAGTTTCATTTTAAAATTTAAATGCCCAAAAAAGTTTGATGACCCTCGAATCATTTTGCGATATTTGTTTGGAACATGTCAGGAACATGGGTACTCAATACTTGCTTTTTATACCTTGAAACAACGCAAAAAACTACTGCGTCTCCTCAATTTTTGAATATCGAACTCTACAAAGTTATGCATCGCCTTAACTGACACATTTTTATAATTATTCATCATGGGTTAATAACAATGCAGCAGTGCCGGAGGTAAACAATTGGTGCGTGTGCTGGTAAGGACCAGGCGACCCATTCACGGAGATATGTAACTCCTCCCCCTCCGTTCCTTTTAAGGGACTGCGGGGGGTGTATCCTCTAAAAAAATTTCCAAAATGTATACTGCTTTCATAGAAAGTTCACCCTGTCAGCAAAATATGTTACAAAAATTACTCTCAGCCTTAAATATTTTGATTGACTACTACGACTTTCCAATCAACGAATTAATTTTTTCTGGTCCAATAAACTTGTAACATATTTTTGATACAGATTACCTGCTTGGTAATCTGTCCTGTAACAGGGTAGGGTGCAATATTGTGAGGGAAACTGTCGGGCAATATTGTTTTCTCCAAATTGAGACTTTTTGCATGTTATGCGTGCAACACGCCTCTATTTTCTACGTTAGTCACCTCTCACCTCACCTTGAAATTTGTCCTGAACATTTTCCGGGGGGNGGGGGGGGGGGGGGGTATGGATCCCTCATTTTAGAGGGAAGGGCGCGCCCGTTTAGTCATTTTAGCACCCGTGTGCGCCGCACGCCCTGCACACGCCCTTTCTCCGGACCTGCAAGCCAGTCAAATTATGTATCTCAGTACAAGAATCAGGAGAAAAGAATATCAGTATTTTTATATCTAAATTTAAATGCAAATTCAGTTGTTTACCTCTTTTCTGTATTCGCCATTAAAAACGTATCATTTTTCCAGAATCCTTTTTGTCTAAGAAATAGTCCTACTACTCCATTCGCTGCATCTTCAACTTACGGTCTAACAATCTTAACAAGTTTAACAAAACACTGAATATATACGCGCGGACAGTTTTGTTGAACTTATTTTTATCTTAATCGGATAAATTAATTGCTTTACATAAAAAGCTTATCAATTATCTGCGCCATATGTGACAGCATTTAATTTTTTCCTTTTTCTATCTGATTTGGTTGCATTATATCATAGTGACGCGTTCATAGGCAATAAGGTAGGACTGGCACACGTTTTTACTCTTTGGGACCCAATGCGTAATAAAACTGTTATGAATTGCATATGGATACTGATGGTCTTTCATGTTATTCAAAGGCTCCTTGCTCGTCTGAACAGAATGCAAAACATATTGGTAATTTTAATGAAGAACGAGCCAAACAAAAAATGTCTCGTAAACAAGGCCGGATTTACCTACTTGCCGCCCATGGGCCGCCTGTATTTTTACGCCCCCTTCTCATTTGTTTTGCAAAATCAATAGATCGTATTCGACAGTGGTTCGATGTATCGTTTGGTTCAAAATAATATAACATAACCTCAAACAAAAATTTCAAGATTAAATTTGGAATAGCTGAAAATGAGAAAATTCTTAACAATTTTACTTTTCATTGCCATTTGGTACTCGAGAGAATAAAAATTCGATCACATAAGACCCGTTACCTCAGATTTCTAAATCGACTTTTGAGGCTGTGGTTGCATATTGAACCAATCGATATCAATATAAGCTCACCTGTGTATTCTGTCGAACACGATCTATAAAAACCATAAAGTGAACGTGCCGGTGGGGGAGGGATATATGAGAAGCGTTTACTCGTGTTGGGCACATTTTTTGTGAAACCCCTGTCAACACTAACAAAAGTTCAGTTCCGTAAACCCATCCCTGTTTGGACAAGGCCTTCCATTTATAAAAAACGAACGAAAAAATTATGAAAGAACAAACATAAATGTGGTTAAAAATTTTAACTTCCATCGTCGCGCCGCGCCGACTGCACTGTGTTTGACGCAATGCGTGAAGTATTCATGCAGTCTTGTAGGCGCTATGTGTTTCAAGCCGACTGCTGCTGACCGCAGTGTGTTTGACGCAATGCGTGAAGTATTCATGCAGTCTTGTAGGCGCTATGCGTTTCATGCCGCCCGCCGGCCGCGCCGTTCCGTTCCAGGTCAAATTGCGTGTTTGGTTTCTCTCTTAACTCAACTAATTAAAGGTGTTGTCTCTTGTATCATCGAGAGACGACAAAATTAGAAATTACTATACATTTAGTCTCAGGAAATGATAGATTTTGTCGCCTTTTCTCGTTTGTAATTTATTTTCTGAATCCGATTTTTCTCTCTCTTTTTTTGATACCTACATTCAAAAAGATTGCAAAATTTGCCGCCATGGGCCGCGGCCCATGTGGCCACCCCCTTAATCCAGTCCTTCTCGTGAATGTTTCAAACTTCAACTTGTGCTATTACGCAGTTTTAAGCATAATTACATACAAACAAAAGAGAAAATAGCTGGGAAAAATGAATGTCTATAAATGAAAGAAAATCGTTTATTTATTAACAAATAGGATATAGGTAATCTAAATAAACGCTAATGTGCCAGATACCACCAGGGGTAGGCTGGAGTTGGTCTTGGCTTCAAAGTGGTCGTATTTTTAATCCGAGGAGGCTGCCATTTAGACACAAAAAAATTACAGGCAATTGGTGGATTTAGGTAGTACTTGGCAGCATATCTTTTGGCTGAAAAGTTGAATCTTCGCTCGTCACCATACTTCCTGGAAAGATGTTACGTAAGGTGCAATTATTAGTTTTAGGTCAAAAACTGAAGACGATCTGTCACGTGTGGTCTTTTGAAAATCCCTCACGGCTATCACGACTGTGTCCTGTTCAGGTCTAGTATCAGAGCTGCTTGCATGCAAACATGTTTAATCGTGCGCAATGTATCGTGAAGTTTAATACTTCACACAGCACTATTACTATTATTCCACCTTCACTGTCCGTGTTGGTAATTTTTAAATATGTTTGAGATAGTTTTCTAAAAATATTAGGGAAAAATAAAATAAATGAGTTGTTATTTTGAAATTGACGGAATTTATGGGAGTGTCGTGTATGACTGTTCTATGCATTTGTTGTTCAGAAATTCACTGAATATTTTAAGTTGAAGAATACGACGGAGGATAGAGACAGTGGCGCGTATAGGCTGAAAAATTAACTCAATTGGATTTAGAATGAATATACTCACGGCCAGGTCAATCGTTTCTCCGCAAACTCCAGTTCATAAGGCTGTTCATAGATTAGAAAGACGTATCTATGATACCCTGCAAACGTAACGTTCTTAATCTTTGTAAAGAGGAATGCATTCTTATTTTTCAATATAATTTTTGGATTTTTTCAAACCCTTGAAGAATGCAAAAGTCTAGAATAAATAAATTATAGGCAAGTATTTTCATCGGGCCGATTCTTCCGTTTCGAAGGTTCTGGATTGGGTCCCCCCTGGCAGAAAGCGTAGAGGATGCCTTGCCAAATCGAGGATTGAGGGTATAAGGCAGGAAATGAGGAGATGCGATCTGCCGGAGGAGCTCTGGCAGGATCGCTATCAGTGGCGGTTGGGTGTCGCAGAGCGCACAGAGGCGCTATAAGAGCGACATGTTAGTTATTTTCATCGGAATCTCCGTTCTAGTATCTCTGGTCATTGTCGATTTTTGCAAAAATAAGATCAAATCGTCCAACACGTGTCTGATTATTTGCATGATAGAAAATATGTTCCGATTCATTACCGTAAAATAAAGGAAGAGGGAAAGGGGCTTCGTCCACCTTGTCAGAACGACATTCGATATATCGCATCGATTAGTTCCATTTTCTGAGCTACTTGTCATTTTTTTTTTCGAATTTTGAGATCGTAATTCTGTTGTCAGGAGACTGAAGAATTCACCTCAAACAAATTCAACGCAATAAAGACGTAGTTTTTTTAGAGGAAAAATATTGCATTCGATACTGATATCGAAACTGCACTCGAATGCGATATTTTACCTCTAAATAAACCACGCCTATATTACATTGAATTTGTTTGTCAAAATTGGTAAGTGAATTCTTTAGTCTCCTGACAACAGAATTGCGATGTGAAAATTCGAGAAAAATGACGAGTAGCTAAAATAATGAAACTAATAGATGCGATACATTGCATGTCGTTCTGACACAAAATATAGCGTCCATCGAATCACCTTAAGTATGTATGATGAGAGGTATCGATACGGATACTTTTTTGTCCACCCTGAATTTTCGCAATTCTATGACTGTTTCTGTACTGAAGGTCTAAATTTATTTTGAAGAATGGATTATGATTTGGTCATTTACGTGTTTTAGCCTGAGTGTTCTGGTAATTCGGCGCTCCTATAACGTAAGGGCAGGCACGCAACCGGGAGGGGGGTTTGGGGGGTTCAAGCCTCCCTCCCCCCAGAGGAAAAGAAGGAGGAAGAGATCGCGGAAAAGAAGAAATAGAAAATAAGAAAAGGCGAGAAAAGAGGAAATTTGAACTTTCAAAATGCGTTCAAATAGAGTTAAAATGTCTAAAATTTTCCAGATGTGTTGAATGCAACAATTTGAAGGTATTTTAGGCTGAAAGTTAAAAAAATAAACTTAATTTTTCCGCAGAAATTGATGGAAAATCTGCGTCGCAGAAGCCTCAAAATGCGATGAAATAGATTTTAAATTTCAAAAATTTTCCGAGGGAGGTCTTTCCCCGGACCCCTTCTGAGCTGAGAGGTATTCCATACTCCCCAAACTCCCCCCTTAGTCGGGGAGGGGAGGAGAACCTCGCCCACCCGACCCAGCCCCCCTCGAAACATAATCCTGGCTACGTGCCTGCTTAAGGGCATGACTTCATTTCCGCATGAGCCTTGAAAGGCTCTGAGTTATATGGACAACAGGCGCACGAGGAAATTAAGGTACGATCCTTACGTCAGAGGGGCGATGAATTGCGTGTCCGAGGGCTGATTTGGGAGAAAAATACGGGGTGTTCAACCGACCCAATCGAAGGGCCAAACAATTTTTCTAGCATCACAATTAGAGCTGATGGGAGAGAATTAAATAATTCGGCCGTAGTTTTGGCTAAAATTGAATCTTGCTCTCATAGTTTGGAAAAAAAATCGAAATTTTAAATTTTTTTGAATTTTTTTTATAAAAATGGCTTTAAGAGAATGGGATCTTTAGATGAGCATTAGACATTCTTGGCGGAGTTTTTACTCGGGTAGTCAAAAGTTTCTTTTAAATAATTTCTCTTCATTTAAAACTATGTATGCCGTGCTGCTATATTTCATTGTCGGTGGATTAAACTAAATAAAGTGACGCACCTGTGTTGGGCTGTGGATTAGGTCCATGGTAGTCCGACATGTATGTTCCTCGTTGCAGGTTTTCAAACTGTATATTTCCCACGACGGAATGTTCGTACTGCCCTTGCTGACTTGAATCATTTTGAGATGCATAGTCAGGATCTACGATTTTAATAGATAGAAACAACTAATACAAACGCTTACGAGACTAAGTCTGCCGTGCTAAGGAAAAACGCTGTATGAACATCTCGGAGTTGCCAAATTTCCCCTCCATAAATATTAATTTTTGAGACAAATAATGAATATTTCTACTTGAAATCGTCTGATACTTTAGATCACATTCCGAAGAAAATTCTCTGAAAAATTGGACGGAAAATTCTCACAAGTTTTCCAGAAAATCGTATTTTACCGAACAATTTGGCAACGCACAAAGATTCATACGGCGTTTTTCCTTAGGACGGTAGTAATATCCATATCGACGGTGAAACTCCTAAACCACGTGTCTCGTTTGCGGTGTTAACAAATCTCCGCCCTTGTTTTATTTTTTCACAGGAGAACAAACTAAAATTATTCCTTGAATTTTTCCTTTGCTTCGTACAGAGAACAAAAAATCCCGAGGGTTTTTACCAATTGACCAATTTAAATTATTAAACTGTCAGTGCGTCTGACTCTAGACCAGTAGGTCCAGGGTTTGAATCCCGGTGGTGGTGACACATTTTCACGGAACTGACGAGTGGATCTGCAGAAACAGATTCTACCTGACCTTAATCCCTGAAAATTTGAAAGCCGGAGCATGGATGTGCAAAAATCCCCCTGATGTCTACTGACAATAAAATAATCTCAACGTTAAAACTCATAACTACAGATGGCTGTAGATTCCTAAGTTACGAAATAAACAGGAATAGAAGCCAAATAAATTGCAAGAGAGGGAAAAAAAAGAAAGAAAAAAAATGCGGGAAGTCTGGAACGCCGCAAATCGTACGTGGCTTAGGAGTTTCGCCATAGATATGTTCAGTAAAATGTGTGATCAATTTGATTGTTGGTGAAAAAAATCAGATGTCAGTCAAGAGTTTGAAAAAAATGTGCAGTCATAAACTGCGATATTAGTCCTTCCGCACGCGTCAAAGATTTTGGAAATCAATGAAGAGAAAGCGACCACTTTTACCCACGACCCTCTAATCATGTGGGCTCATTGATTACCTCGAAATCTATCATATCAGGTGAGCATCAGTTTAGATGATGACCAAAGAAGTATGGAAATTCCCTGAATCTTGCGTTAAAAACTCGTAGATTCAAGGTTCTATATTAATCCTGGTTTTTTAGACTAAATGGTAAAATGTAAAAGGAATAATGAACTTACCAACCATAACGAATAAGTAATATTTCTCTTCTTCAGCGCCCCATTCCATCATATAGGGTTCTGTCGCGCAATCCTCCGCGTTTAATTCGTTTCCAAAATCTGGGAATACTTCCGTCTCATAATAAATCTGTAATTCCAATCAAGAAATATTTTAGGAAACGGAAATTTTGGAAGTCATGCTGTGGTCAACCCCTAAGATTAGAGATGTCATTAAATTTGGAACTCTTTGGCGAATTTTAACAATTAAAATCATTAAGAGAAATGTAGGGGAGTATTATACCTAATACGTTCCACTATTTCGTAGAGGGAAATATCCATGCCTAAATGCAAAAAACACGTATCTCAATTTCAACGTTTGAAAATCCCTTACTATGCTTTATTTTTTTTACGGAAACCTGATGTAAATGTTACCGTGCAATTTTCTTCGTGATTTTTTTTTAAATTATAGGGAAGACAATTCCAAGCAAATCTCACTAAAAACTGTTGGCTGGTTTTCCTCTAAAAAAATGAGACATGAGCGATGACTCTCAACGTCAAACTCTGAGAAACGCGTTTTTTACCCTATAGTCGTCAATTAAAATAGCTGAAGCACTCCATTAGAAGTGAACGTGAGAGTGGTGCTAAATTCTAACTTTTGCATTTTATTTCAATGTTACTATTCAAATATTTTGTGCGGGGAGATTTGAGTGAAAGTTATTGGCGTTTCGCTGTGATGATCTTTAAAAAAACGCGAAGATTGGAACGAAATTCACTCGTTTGTCGAGCCTCACGTTAAACGCAAATACGTGATACAATCATTTCAACTCCTGTGCGACTCAAATTGCATCCATCGAGTTGAAGGCGAACTTGATTTCTCACTCCAGTTTTTAGATATTCAGACGTGACCGCGAGAGCGGTCAAAGCGGTGCTAAATGCCAAGTTTTGCATTTTATCTCAATAGACGAATTCAGTGGTGACGTCACGGAGCGATATTGTTGGTATATATCTTGTCTCTAGATATATCGAAAGTCGAAATGTGCCCCAGCAAACAAACATAACCTCCAAAATGAACAATTGACGAAATAATGCTGAAACTGCCTGAAACTAAAAAATTGCTCCATGGGACTTTAAAAGTATGAAAGCTAGCCATTTACAAAAACGTTCGAGATCACAATCACAAGAATTGACTGTATAATAAGCTCGTAATATCAGTGACAGTCATAAAGCGAATCCCCCTACCCCCTGCCTAAATCCCGCAGATTCCTATATGTCCGTTTGTTAGGACACGTTTCGACTTTCGAGATATCGAAATTAAATCGAGATGTGACGTCACACTAAATTCGTCTATGTCACTATGACCCAGTCAAACAGTTCAGACTGAATACTTGTTTTCTTCTTTTTTAACGAGTTTATTAGCAAATTACAATTTGGAAATATGGGAGCGTAATATTCTTCAAGGCAAGCAGGCCTGGATAAACAGACTAAACATATAGAAAAAGAGAAAAAGTTAATTTATTAGACAGTAAGATCAAACATAAAAACTCTAAGTGATGGGCTTGGAGGTCAAGGCGCAAAGGTGCAGTTTTTGATATTGCGAGAAATACGTGTTTGAAGCTTTGAAATTACATGGATCTTGATGGCGGTAAGAAAGTTCAAACTGACTTTTTTATGCTTAAACATTGGAATTTGGGAGCGAATTTTTCACAGAGTATGCATTTCTATGATTTTTTTTATTTTATTTTATAATTTTTTTTATTTTTTTTTAAAACTTCTCGTTTGATTGGGAATCTTTTGCTAGGAAATTGAATTTAGTCTAATGTGGTTATTTATACATCCACACTGATTTAGCTTTGTAATTTTCAAAATTCTCTGTAAAGACGTTAGTAGCCTGTGACGCTGAATGTCTTAAAATATACTAACTAACTAACTATAAAATAAAATGTCTGCATATTGTTAAACAGGTCTACTACGTACGGACGTGACTTTTTTATTTTTAATCTCGTAATTATTTATATTACTCGGCGCTGAACAACGACTTATAACAAAAATCGACTTGATGATCGATTGTTCCATGGAAACTCATGAAAATTTCTCTGTAAAACTACATAACATCTTTGAGGTAAGTAAATTCCATAGACTTACTTTTATAGCTTTCTTTGGTGCTACGTCTAGGACGTCCGGAATTATTTTGAACTTTTTTAGAGCGCTTTCTATTTCTTGAGGTGTCTTTTTCAAAGGATCCGCTGTTATGATTTTGATGCTAAGGTACAAAAAAATTGGAAACGTGACGAGTACGGGTGTCCCTTTGATGAAGAGCTCATGATACGGGAGCTTCATTGTAATTTGCCTCATGGAGTCCTCTTTTGATTTTGTCTGACCTTCAAAAACAATACATTTTTAATATTACAACTGTTTGTACATATACTTTTACTAGGGGGCCCTGCCCCCTGACCGCTACGCGGCCCAACCCCCACGAGGGCGCCTTGCGCCCTCAGGCCCGCTTCGCGGGCCCTATACGCATATGTATAGGCAAAAATGTTCTTCCATTTTAATACACCATTTTGTGTTCGAGCTGCATCGATTTCAAAATTTTTGACGTAACACTCAGATTTGTAAATGATGAGGAATAGCTGGATGTACATAATTTCACAGCCCACTTACTGGAGAAATTTCTATTTATTATGTTATTTTTAAATACTTAATGTAAAAAAAAAACAAGCAGTGAACTCCAACACAATGTGTTGATAAGGCGCGTCATTAACTCGCACATATCAACCCCTTTAGTTTTCATTTACAGAGATTTCAAAAAAGGCAAGCAGCACAACAAGAGAATTCACGATCCAACAGTGCAAGGTCAACGACGCACCTTGACGAGACCGTGTATTGTGAATCTAGAAAGCTATTCGAACAAATTTAAGTTTTTTGATCTGCCTCAAGCAAAATCTTATCAGATTCTTGAAGAAAAGTGCTACGGAAAAATTTAAGCGAAGAAAGGAAAAGTTCTGTCGAACTCCTAGAAGATAAAGTCGATTTAAAGGTATTTTGTGGCTAAAATACCCAAATCACCGGTATTATAAATCCCGTTATATTATTGAAAAGAGATTTACTCGATATAAATGCAATTGTATTAAATATGTCTTGATTTTTTTATTTTAAACGTCTTTTCATGCAAAGAAGCTTAACCTTGTCCATGCTTTATTCATTCATGAATTGAAAGTAAGCAATCCACATCCCGAAAATCTACCGATTTGCCGTGAAAAATTGCAGAAACTTGATATACCAGGTCGATGTACCCACTCTTTGAATTTACCAATCGATTTAGTGAGTGCACGTATGTGAAAGTCAAAATGCTATAGTCATTTTGGGTGCATTCATTTTTCATGAAACAATTGTAAGTAATTTCAATCCCAAAAAACCATACATTTTCCGTATAAAATCGAAAAAATCAAAATATGTCGACTCCCTGACGTGAAAATTAAATTCTACGTGTGAAAATACTTATGTATCGATATGCTGAACAGAATGCCCG